AAAGCGGAACTATTATACAAAATTCACATTTTGCACAATTTTATACTTTAATTTAGTTCACAGTTGCTTCTAAAAACATCCCAAGCTCATAAAAAAACCAAACAACAACAACAACATCGGAGCGTATTTTTGGTGTCTGGAAAATGAGCCATTTCAAAAACCTCCTGATTGGTAAGTTACAGCCGAGCCCCACCTGTTATCTAGCAACACAAGTGGAGCTCCAACACGTTTCATCAGCTGGTTTTACTGCTGTATGCGCCGTACAGTAACTTCAGTAAAAACAAGTGTTTTGTTGTTGACTTACAATCCAGAAATACTTGCTGCGTTCTTGTTGGATGTGCAGGAGGTTCTACTGTTGCTTTTCAAAGATGTGTGGTTGTATAATTGCACATCTGTTAGCAGCCATTTTCAGGTGTAAACGTTGTGTTGGGGAACAAATATGTTTTAGCCAAAATTCACCAGGCACAGACACACACCTGCAGTTTTTGTTTCATAAGTTTTATATTGGGAAAAAAAAACTAATTTGGTTGGCTGATTTGGTTTTTTTTTTTTTGGTTACTTTTGTGAATTATTGTTTTTTTGGTCCTTTAATACCAAAATTTCCCCTTAACTTTATATTTTGATCCATCTGATGATGTAATATTTAAATATTAAATGATTGATAATTTGAGCGGTTACTCAGTACTTCAGAAGGTCTTTTACCAAATGCTTTTTTACTCTTATTTACTTTTTACTACTTTTTAATTTTACCATCCTAGAGGAATCAGATCCATTATATGGGTACAAACATTTCCTTCACAGCTTCTGGGGTTGACATCACTTTCACAGATAATGTACAGTAGGTCAGCAGGCGTCCTTTAGCTACAGGGCTTTGGATTATTGCGGTGTGCTGCGGTATACTCGACTTCAGGGCAACCTTTAACAGGCTTATGTATTAATCTGCATCAGGTGCTCTTGTCACTTGCCGTACGAACAGGCGTGCAGCAGGGACAGAGGACATGTTGTGCACACCACGCAGATGGTCCCCTCTGGTCACGTATTACGGCTGGTAAACATTACCTCTGTCTGTGCACGATGCAGTAAGTCTTTATTGAGCTTAAATTAAATGATGCATCTGAGAAGAGAGATCCTGGGTACATGCAGATGTGCTGCTATGTTTAGTGGTAAAGACAAACTGTGCTCTCTTTTGGTTTTAATTTTACGACATGATAAAACAAAGAAGTTTATGTAAAAATCTGAAATTCAGAAGCAACAACATAAGTTTGCTCTTATGTTTTCCATATAAAACATGAGGTAATGCTGCAGCTAGATGGAAATGTATCAGCAATGACCTGCCTAATGCTCAGACTGGGAACAATTATGAGGTTATTTTTAATCTCTTTATTGGAAACTGAGATTATTCACAGCAGACCCTGCAGACGTCTTTTAGACCAGGGATCTGCAACCTTTAAGAATCACTTTGTTCTCAGGAAAAACAAATAAAACTCCTTTAGAGCTGCAAATGTCACATGGCGTTTTGAAAAATGTCCACTTATAAATGTAGACAAATGTCCACTTTAGGAAATTTGCTGTAATTTTTAAGGAACCACCACTATGTTTTGTTTTTCAGGACTTAAAATAAAGAAAACATAAAAAAGGATGACTATTCTATTTTTTCTGAGAAAGAAAGTGCAAAACCAAAAATACAAAGAACAAACTTATAAAATTAGACAAATATCAACTTTAGGAAATGTATTTTAATTTTTAAAGAACCACCATTAAATTTATTTTTTAGGATTTAAAATAAAGGAAAAATATTTTCTGAGGAAGAAAAAGCAAAAACAAAAAAAAAACAGATGTGAAAGGATGATAGTGCCTTAGGGTCATTCTTTGTGGACATTAAGTGCAAATATTCCAGAAAAAAAGACAAAATACTGTTGAACTCCTGCATTTGTCATTATATCTATATTAAAGAAACTGTTTTTTATTCATTTAGTCAATGTTATGAAGTGCAGTTGGTCCAGGTTGCAGACTCCTGTGTTAAACTGGTTAAGAAAACTTGCAGAAGTTGGATCTATAAAATCCCCAAAACTTCTGTCCTGCATATTCTGATATTATGTTATTGTTTTCTTTGTTCATTTATGTTTAAGATGTTTGTAAAAGCTCAAAACAAACGAACGAAGGGATTCTGATGGACTCGGCTACCTGAACTGAATCCATCTGATGCAAAAAGAGACAAAATACGAACAAAGTGATTATCGCTTTTATGTTGCCATGGATACTGGCTAAAGAGGTTATTGTGGTTATCTGCTATTTTAGGTGTTTCAAGTGATTTTTTTTTTTGAGGAGCCATCATGTCGGCAGGACAGGAGCTTACGTAAGTTTTACAGCTCAAAATAGTCTATAAACTACAGGTAAATAAGAAAACAAAACATAAATCTTTCTTCATAAAAATGCATAAATAAAGCTCCTGTGAAAATGTTGTGTTTTGCCTCAGACCAATTTCATTTTGCCATTTTCTCGGTGGGTAACACTAACAGAAAATTTCCCAACTAAATAAAATATCATGAATTGATCTTGGTTTTCTGATGTTTATAAATATGTTCCTGTTCAAACTGCAAGCCGTGTCGGTTCCTCCAGTCAAGTTAAATCACAGCTGTTTACTCTGTAAAGTCCTAAAAATATTAAAACATAAAATTTGTGAAAGATTTTGAATTAAACACTATTACACAGGGTTCAACAGAAATGTGACTGAGTAGCAGTTTTGTTTGAGATAATGTGCAATTTATTGGTTGCCAAGTTGAAAACAAGTTATTGACATTCTGTTGTAAATTTCCTGTTGTTTTTTCTTCTGTAATTATTCCACAATGTAAAAACAAAAGTTCTTATTTAAGTTAAACTAAATGGAAATATCCAAAACGTAATTTTCTGAGTGTAATTTGCCACTGTTTTGTTTTTTAAGTGTGTGATTAGAGCAGCGCCGTCCTTCCAGCAGCACGTTAATCCCCACCAGCCGTTATCTAAGATTCAACCTTTCATTATGTCATTTCTGTGATGTAAACCACCTGCAGCTCTTCAGTTTCCCCGTGGCTAAATTAATGGCCACAGGATTACACTAAATGGATCAAAGGCCTTACATAATTTAAATTGTTCCTGAAATAATAAAAGGAGATTGTAACATTTTTCATTATTACTGCATGTTTCACTGTTGACATAAAGGAACCAGGAGGTTGGTTAATTAAACTACCTTGTGTTCATCTGGGTGCTAATTTAATCCATGCTCATATAACCTGGATTAAAGGGATGGGAGTAGAGAGCATGTGGCAGCTGCACACACCACTAGCTTGAAATCTGTTGGAAAAAACAACATTGTTTTGTTAAAATAATGAGGTTAAACAATCATTTTTATTTAGAAGCAAGTGGGCGCTCTGCAATTATGCACTTTTATTTAGAAAGTCCAAATGTTCAGGGTGGCTTTAAAGGTCAGGAGGTGCCAGAAATAATCGCAGTTAGTCAGCAAATGTGCTTTTGTTGAATTAACAGTAAGTTATTTTAGAGGCAAAATTAAAACCTCTTGTAGTTCATGCTGCCCACATATTGGATATTTTAATTTATTTTTAACAGATCCCCTTTTAAGCCAGACAAAACTCTTCAACATGTGCATCAATTGTGTAGAAAAAATTATGCAAGACTTGAGTAAAGAAAGATTCTTCATTGTGTACTTTTTTAAAATATAGATTAATCATTATTTAGCTATTTTCCAATAGCATTTAATCCTGTTTAGAGTTGCAGGCAGAGGGTTGGATCTTTTCCCAGCTGACGTAACGATGAAGGATCCTGCAGAGCCGGGTCAATCGTTCACAGGAAGGGATTCAGCTCATTATTCCTTACAGAATTAATTATTTAAATTTCAAATGCATACAATGCAAATAACAGACTTAATCTGGAAAAAAAAAACATCAAGAAAATAAAAAGGCTGAGCAGAAAAGAGGATTTTTTTAGAAATTTGTAAATGTCTTGTCTTAATAATAGTTGTAAAAATACAGCAAATGTGCAACAATTTCTTTCACTAATAACAGTACAAATACTTTCATTTTGAGAGATAATCTTCATATAAAAGTAACATTTCTAAACATCTGTCATTAATTAAAAATGCAGTTTTCCAGACTCGAATCTAAAGGGTGTTTTTAGTGAATTTTGGATTCGACTCATAATTAATTATTACTCTAATCAATAAATCATGATTAATTGCTTCAGCCCTATAAAGACTTTTGTCATGAATGGTCTGAATAATTCTGAGGCCATTTTTTTCTGCTGAATTCAGAGAAGCATTCTGGTAATATTAGTTGTATTAAAGCCATTTAATATATTCTCGTTTGATTTGTTTGTTGTAAATTGTATTTTGCAAATAAACCTAATTTGTAGAACACGAATCATTTAGATAACTGCCTTCAAATCTAGAAAAGTGCAACATGAATCACAGATAAATGAAAATATTCAGTGTCGCATTTCTCTTTTTATTTTTAATTATTACTAAGAGTAGAACCAGCTCACAAATCAGAAGCGGTTGAGTCAGAATCTCTAAAGACTCTTGAGAAGAGTCGAGTCCTTATCTTGACTCTTGTGCGCTCCCTAGAGGTTTGAAGTGTGAAGTACAGCAGCAGCAGATCATCATTATCAATAAACAGTTAATATTGATGTATGTAGCTTCAGCATGGGAAGAAAGTATTAAAAACAGTCTCAAAGTGTGATATTTTTATTTGATATACTGTGAAGTGGTTCAAATGGCACAAAATGGCAGCAGGATGATAATTATGGCGTAAGGCTTCTATTAACTGATCCGTTTCAGTCTCAATTTCTTTCATTTGCAAATGATGAATGAAGGCATTAAAGTCCAACCCACCGGTCTCATTCTGGATGATTTTCCTCTCCAGTTTACACCCAGACAAACCACATGTGACCCTGCACAACTCAACGGCCGAGCCCTGAGATTATCAAACCAGCATGCTGTGAAGACTGAACGTGGCGAAAAGCTGAAAATGCTACAAAATTCATCAACAGTAACAGATGAAAACAAACTGAATACAAAAAGAATCTCAAACTTTGAATCCCTCATTCAGGTCCCACTCATGTGTATATCATGTATGCAAACATATAAAACAGACTCTAGATATCCTGGATGAGAATTTTGTCCAGTGGTAATTAAATGTACAGTTAAAATTATTTATAAACAATAAACCAACATGTCTGCAGAAACAGAATCCCTCCTGTGTTTATCTGAAGGTCCTTCTGCAGGTTTCTAATCTCTGATTTATCTCGACTTCAGGTTTATGACACTGAAGCAGGTAGGTCTCCGGGTGATTGCTTAACAGACGTGTAAACATCAGCTTTCAAATAAAGTTTGTTGCCGGGACATGTGACCACCAGCATATCCACGCAACCTCGAGTTTTTCTTCCTCTGAGGGAATCGCTGGCAGTCTGCTGCCTCCAACAATGATGTCGTCTCATCTTTGGCTTTGCAAAGTTTAACCCTTCAGGTTCCAAGTCTGAATCTCACACAGAGAAAAAGCGTCACCTACAGTCTGTGCAGGTTCATCCGGCCTGTGTGTGTGTGTGTCCAAAACGCTTAAGCCCACTGAACTTGAGCTCCTGCCTTGGAGTGTCTTTTGGCCTCTTTGATGGAGAGAGCTTCTTCCTTTTCGCTCATTTCTTTCTGCCGCTTCTCATCCAAAAATGTCACTAGAGAGTCCATCATCTCCACCACCTCAAGAATCTGATCAAAGATCCGGTTTTCTTCTTCCTGCTGCTCTGGCGTCTTATCTGTTGGAAAGGAAAAGAAAAGACATACAAACACAAATTACTTGTAAACAAGTGATATTTTTCTGTGCTAAAAATATAAGGATGCACCGATCCACTTTATCCATGATACCCAATCCAGATTTTTTCTCAATATCAGGATCGATACAGATATTAATATCGGATCGGTGCATTTCTACTGAAAAACATACTTCAATGTTAAATTTACAATCAATCCATTCAGGATTTCAAAATTAGTTTTGTGATTTTAACTCATTAAATCCCTTTTAAAATCTACATATAGAAAAAAAATGGTAAAGCTTAGGAAAAAAGAAAAACATTTCTGTTCCAAGAACTTAAATATCTTGATTTTTGTTACTCATCACATTAAAGGCTGAGGCAGCAGTGTGAATGAAGTAAATACTGCCATCTGCAGGTGGGAGTAAGTAGTTATGTAAACCCAATGTTTTTTGCAGAAAATTTGCAATAAACTCACTTTTTTTAGTGCCTCAGACTACTGAACTCAAGCTGCACTTAATTAGACATCTTACTTTAAAGCTTTACAAAAGTATATGGTATAGAGTACTCCATTATTTGTTATACTTGTAGCTAATTGAACAAAGAAACGGGCTGATGACGAGTTTAATTAAGTTAATCAAGCAAAACACAACAGATTTAGATATTTTTTTTACTGACTGTGCAGAGATACAAGATGTTTAGAACGGAGAAAAACAGCACATCGACAAAGCACTGCAGTGACATGGAAAGTAAAATACTGCAGTGTTGGTTGCTTATAAGTTGAGTATTTGTATCTTTAATGGCATTCAGAGCGAGGTCAGAGTTCCTGCAGACGGAACCACCCACCTTTTATCTCCATTAACTTCCTGTACTCCAGCTCCAACGTGCTGCGCTTGTCCTCCAGTTCCAGCTGTCGGGACCTGAGGGGAAAAACAAACTACAGCTCAGCCACGTCTGCAGCACATCCTGCTGATGCTGCAGGTCATTAAACAGGCAACATGAAGGCGCAGCGCTGCCATGGAGAGAGCAAACAGTGACCACCGGCTGCTCAAAGGTCTGCTGTTATTAACTCCATGGCTGCGCTCGTTTCCTGATACGCTGCGACTTACTCCACCATGAGGTCCGACTCCTCCGAGACCAAGGCGTTCTTTTCATGGACCAGCTGGATCCATTCTTCAATCGTTTCAGAGGAATCGCTGTTGTCTGGGCGAGGGCGAAAACAAATAGTTTGTGAATCATTTGGGCTTTTTTTTTTTATTAAAAAGTGGAAGATGAGTTTGATCAAATATCAGAACCATTTGAAATCTGACATGGGTCACATGGGAATGCTCAAAAAGACATTCAGCTGACTTACAAAATAATAAAGTAACATTTTCCTTCTAAATATGCAAATGGAGAAAAGCTGCTGTTTTGTTATTTCAATGTAAGAAAATAACAAAAACTGACTTTAATGTGGGTTTAGTTGTATGTTAACCTTAGGAATGAATGTACAGACACTCACAATCAAATTTAAATTTAAAAATACTTTACCAAACCCAAAGGGAAATTAAATTATGAACAACCAAATTCAGGATGGATTTTAGCACCAGGAATGAAGGAACAATGATATTTTTTTCCCTTTACAACAGCATCAGGTGAATCAGACATTTATGGAATTTAATTGGGAAAATTAAACTTGAGCAGAAGTAAAAAAAAAAAAAAAAAAAAAAACATTTAGCAAAATATAATATTGATTCTGTCTAAAGGTAGTGTGGATAGTAAATGGGTAAAGGTAATGGGTGTATAATAGCCATAAAACAAGCAGAAATTCAACAAATAAAAACTGCACAACAACAAACTGCAATAAATATTAGTTCAAAAAACAAATAAAAGACCTACTGGGTTGTCTACGCAGGCTTCTCTCCAGCTTCACGCCTTTCTCCTCCAGGTCCTTGTAGGAGACTTCAATCTCCTCCAGTCGACGCTGGATTGACTGGAAAATAAGTAATATTTTATTTTACATTAGTAGACCCCATATTTAATGTTTTTTCAGGTTCAGTGAAAAAACAAACAGGCTTTATGTAAACATTAACAGCGGTGACGTAGTAAAACACAGAGAGGGCTTTTAGTCCTTAACCAGTAGAGCTGCTTGAATAAAAGCATTCAGAGATATTATGAAGGCTAATCATTTACATTTATAACAGGGCAACAGCAGAAAACCAACATTTAACCTTTTCCTCCTTCCTTTTAATCAGAGTTGCTGCAAAATCCCAAAAGTTTGACAAATTTATGGAAAATAATTAAAGCTAATTGAAAAAACATAAATAAGCGTTGAAAAATATTATTCTGTAAGTAACAAATCTGCATGAGTTTTACTTTTGGAATTGGAAGATATTTAAATTTATTAAGATGAACCTGTAAATGAAAGGTTCAGTTCTACTATCTTCCACTAAATAAAGAACAAGTTGATGAAATGAAATTGACACAAAAACCTGCTAGTTCTGCAAAATGTAGAGAAGTTGCTCAGATTACCCAGGATGCATGTCAACTCCAGGTCTAAGCACATTAAGTCAACAGATATGTTGATGAAATTTGACTTTCGTGCAAACCTGAGCTTTGCAGAAGCGATCCATTACACTCATCTTGGCTCTCCTCTGCAGTGTCTTTATCCTCTTCAACTCAAACTTTTTTGCCTGAACCGGGTCAGATGGCTCCTGCTGCAGGGAAAGAGACAACATTCAACACATGAAGAACATTAAGTGTATTTCCTATTATAAATACAAACTCTTCGGACCTTTACCTTCATGTCAAACAAGTCTTCCTGTTCATCAAACATATAGTCATCATCATCGTCGTCGTCATCATCCTCATCATCAACACCGTCCGTGCTATGAACGTGATGGAAGGTCGTCTCTGTTTTAAGAGTAAAAATGTAGATAAATTAGAAAAAAGGTTGTTTCTTGCTAAACATCCGTGAGAATGCTAGTCTGCTGAAAGAACGGACTGGAAGACGCTGAAGAGAAGCAAAGCTGAACAAAGTTGAAGACAGAAAGACGAGAAGGAAGCTGAAGACAAGCAGATCTAAAATGGCAGAAGAGTAGATGTGTGACATGCCTGCTCTCCACAAGTGTTTGAAAGAAAAATGCAAGACCTATTGCAAAGACGTTTATATTTTCTCATCACAGACACGCGTAGCTACTTTCAGAAGTAAAAATTATTTCCATAGAGTGAAATATGTACGGACAGCACCATTTTGTTTGTGAAAAAACAAACTTGAGAAAGCGCTAATTTTTGCGCTGTGGCAGTTGAAGAATCCCATAAATTTTATTACATTGTAAAAATGAAAATGGCCATAAAACTTAACTTGTGATTTTAGAAAAACTATAAGGGATGTCAAAACGTTTCATCATCTGAAGGTAGCTTATCATGTTGACTTGTTCAAAAGTTGAATTGAGTTTCTAGGTTGAAGTATGAAGAAGAAATAAGCTGTCAAAGAGAACAAAGTACTGGAAGACTTTAGCAGAATGTTTGAGCTTTTCCAAGTATTTAAAAAATAATATTCTCACTGAAAGTGGAGTAAAGTATGTTTTCCTCCCATATCAGAAGATCAGGGATCCACATACCGACTCTGCCTGGATGGACGGTGAGTCGGCAGTCTCTGCTGATCCTCGGTGAGGACAGGTTCCAGGGGGAAAACTTGGACCGGACTCGGTTCTGCCCGCTCGGCATCTCTTTTCGCTTGAAGCAGTGACGGTTCTTCTTCTCACGGATGAGACTAGCTGTGCTCCCGCTCCAGTAGCCCTCTTCTTCTGGTCCTTCCTGGCCCTCTTGTTTAGGAGGCCCACCTGCGTTTGCGGAGGAAGACGAGCAGGAGGACGACCCGCCTTGGGTTTCGGAGTCTGAGTCTGCGCTGAAGCTCTGCAGATTCCCCAGCTCGTTCCGCTCCTCGATGGACAGCTGAAGCTTTCGCAGTGGTTTGAGAGAGAAATCTGGTCCTGCTTTAGAGGTCTCCTCTGGAGCCGCTTCAGGAAAAGATGTCTGCGGAGTCAGGATGACTTTGCGAGGTTTCGCCACTGGAGGCGAGGGCTCGGAGGTGGGGGTCGTCTGACGGGACAGGCGTGGCTTTGGAACGGGAAAAGCCATCGGCTCATCTTGAGGGGGCTCCAATATCTCAGGTTTAGATGCAGGATCTGGAAAAGTGCTCGTCTTCTGTGGTTCTTGGGAGTCTCCTTTGGACTGATGGATAGTCTGATCCGGTTCTTCTTGGTCATCTGAATGTGTGACAGTAGAGGAGACACCATCTGGTTTGAGGAAGTACTCTTCATCTGATGGAGACGGCGTGTAGCTCTCACTGGAAAGTTCGTTCTCTTCATCTTCATCGATGTCCTAAATAACAAAGTTATGAGTGAAATATACAGACCACTGCACCACAAAAAACCCAGAGAATCCCTCCCGTCTGTTCGGTCAGTGACCCACCTCACAGGATGCTTCGACACCATTAATAAGCAACAAATCTTCAGAGTGCATCTCGCAGTAAAATCTCCCTGTGGGAAGAGAAGAGGTAAAAATGTTCACATGTTTTCCTTTTGTAAAAATATCAGCATCGTAAACAAAAATTGTTATTCATGTAAAGGCTTTACCATAGTCTGGTAGTAACCAGTCATATTTACCAGAGTGACTTTTGTCAAAGAATGTACTTTTATGAGTATTTTTGCTACGCTGTACTTTTTACTCCTTACTTCAGTAATTTTATGATGAAGTATCGCTACTCTTACTCGATTCAAATTTCTGTTTTCTCTACCCACTTAGTGAAGAATAAACTTGTCTTAAAAAAAATTCACCACGCACCAGCAGTTTTTGTCAAAGTTTCATAAACTTTATATTGAAAAAAATTGATTTTGAAAAAAAAAATATTTTGCCTGATGTTATTGTTTGGTACTTATATGAATGAATATGAACTTAAAATACAAAAATTTCCATTTAACTTTAGGTCCACCTGATTAGGTAATTTTTAAATAATTTATAATTTGATCAGTTACTCAGTACTTGAGTAGACTTTTTACAAAAATATGTCAAAGTAGTGCTACGCCTACATGAGTACAATCTTCAGTACTCTGCCCACCTCTGGGTTTTAAAAGCAGCATTCCAGAATTGCCCGGGTCACAGTGGGCTCCCCATCATGATTGATGGCACGCTGCCGTTTTTAATATGCAAAGCTCTTCCTCATAAAAGAAATATTGAGACAACGCTCAGCTGTACTGGTTGCTGTGAGACCGAAGGGGGCTGTGAATGTTTTAGACAGCATTTTAAATAGAAATCTACCTGTCAGGCAGTCAAAAGCCTCTTAAAACATTCGGTACAAACCCACAAAGATGACATCCTCTCTGAGCTTTTATAAATCACAAATCAAGCAGGTGGAAACCCTGAACACATGCAGGATTTAAAAATCAAGCATTTCTCAACCAAATGGGGCTCAGATTGATACTGACCCACGTATAATGTGTCATAACTCCATTCAGGGTTATCAATCTTCATTTGTTTTGTTCCATCTCAACACTATACAACTACAATAATCCAAGTCCCCCTTTGCCATCTTAGTTGCTATCAGTTTAAGAGTTTTTTGATGCTTAATTTTTAATCTAAATGAGAAAAGAGGAGAAATAATAGTCATTCAGCAGCTCAATGAGATCATAATATTCATTTACAAATTTTCAGCTACAATCTTTAATATAGTTTGACAAGGTCACAACAATAACATGCTCTGTTGAAAAAAAAAAAGCAAAAGTCTTTTCAACTGGATCATTTTATGCCGTTATTGAGGTTCAGAAATCTCTGAAAAATCCAGTGCGTTTTTGTCTTGCAGAGGCATTTTGCATGGCGATAGCATAACTGTAAAAAGATGTGTGGAAAAACCTCACAACTGCTATTTCAGTTTATTAAAATAGACTGAAATAGCAGTCTATTAATTTTTTTTAATTCTTTTTAATTGTTTAGCATAATAAAAAAAACAAGTTAGAACATAACAATAAAAAAAAACAAGTTTGAACCCAACAAAAATAAAATAATTTAAGAGCCACATTTTTAAGATGAAGGCATCTTCAAATACTTCCCACCATTAAATAATTTTTCTGCTCCTGATCTTTAAAAAATGATCTTTAAAATATTTCAGTCTATTAGATTAGACTGAAATAGCAGCTCTACAATAGATAGAAATAAAATATTTCTTTTCATACCTCTTTACATTAAAAATGTAAAATAATTCACTGCAAAATTAATTAAAAAATTGGTATTAATGCTAAATTAACTATGTCTACTAGATGTTTGCTACAAATCATTAAAAAGCAAGCTCTCCTTGGAGTGATCCTGGTGTAGATTTAAAGAGACTTTAAAGACTGGCAGTACTGAGAAAAATGTTATATTTAAACACATACAAGTACTGACAGAAAGAAACAATTACCCATCCACCTTCCAGCTCCATCTGCTCTGACAAACTAGGGCTGACAGCTCTTTGCATCTTTCATCTCTGGCTTTTAAGTGCAAGTAGAAAATGTTTAATCACCACTCAATCCTGCATTCAACGACTCTGCAGGATATGGATGTATTCACTGCCTTTAATCGTAATCATAGTTTTAAAAAAAATAATCTACCAAAGTGCATCAGCAAATCTGCACTTTGAGTGGAGGGTGGGGACTTGAAGCTGCAAGTATGAACACAGGTTGCTTTCCTATCTGCACAAACACTTCGTACGGACACGCCTTAATGAGGTTTGCAAAGGAGATACGACTGATTTATTTGGCAGATTAAATAAATCTAAAGTATTTTGGATTGAAGTTATGTCAGAAGCAAAAAATGCTCAACTCACCACTGTTCTTGTCGAAGGCGTATCCTCCCAATCTGAGGGTGATGCCACAGCTGTGGCAGGTGAAGCAGCTCCGATGGAAGAACCTCCCCTCAGCACTGATGCGCTCCACCGCGTACACCATTTTCCCACAGAAGTAGCACTGCTCGTTGTCGGTCGTCAGCAGAGTCTCGGCTGGTTCTGGTTCTGGTGGTGGAGAGGCGGCGGCCGCAGCGGGAGGAACTGGATGCACTTCAGGAGACGCAGGTAGCACGGACGTCTGAGGAAGGGCAAATGGAAGAATCAGTAAATAAAAGTAAGGGAAGACACTGACAGTTAAAGTGAAGAACCAAATAAAACTCACAGGTTTCTCATCTTCCATGATTTTCTCAGCTTGTGCACCTCGTTTCAGAGTCGCCAGTCTTTCCTGCAGAGAAAACAGAGAATTGTATCCAAAGACCTCAAAAAGCAATATTATGAACCTTAAAAGTCACAAAATATAAACCAAAGGAGACCACACATCTGTTTCCTCAGACCAGCAAGTAAGAGTGTCTGAAAACATCCTGATCAGATATTTCTGCAGGCTGTGTAATCCCTAACTCAGTGGTCTTACCTTTTGTTTTTGCAGTGAGAGGTGCTTCAGCTTGCTCAGGAAAAAGACAGCTGACTTTGTCCTAGAGAGACTCAGAGACGTGGTCGGTGGCAGGGGGCCTGCAGGTTCTGTCGTCAACAGAAAGGGAAAGAAATGTCAGAAAGAAAGAAAAGAAGAGACAAATTAATGCAGATTCCACCTGAATACTCACCATTTCCCCATTTATAATTTTACTTGATAAATTCTGATGCCGTATTTTCTCTTTTAAAGCTTTAAAAAGGTAAGCTGCATCCTATTTGATTATTGCTTCTAATTTCTGTGGCGTCACAGCAGCAGCAGCAGATTTCAACTTGTCAACCCAAACCAAAACTCTTCATTCCTGGTATCACCAACGCTCCCCCTCTCCTCTCATTCAGATGAGGTTACTGGAGACTGACTGCTCCCTCCTGCCTGCGCATCGCTCAGCCGATCCCGAGCAGAGCAGCAAAGCAGACGAGAGCGCCTATCACGCCCACTTCAGCTCATCCACCGCCACTAGTCGATTGAGTCTACGCCGCATTACCATCCTGGTGTGAAAATACCTCTGCTGCTGATAGTGGAGGGAATATCTGCCCTGGAAGAAAGGCTGCACCCCCCGCCAGAGCCCTAAAAGCCCACCGCTCGCTCTGCCTGCTGCTGGGCTGGCTCAGTGCAGGAGAGCAACACAACCAGTACAGGCTGGCTCTGAGCACGGCACAAGCCACTTAAGCCCAGTGAATTATGGGTACCCTGATCTTAAAGAGACAGAGCCACTGAATGCATTTTGTAGGGAAAACACCTGACTCCTTTTAAGGTGATGCAAATGCAGCGTGGTGTCTAAGCAACCGTCTTCAGAAGCACAGCTGCACCTCAGTAAATCTGAATAAGTTAATTTATTTCAATAATTCAACCTGACTCATCGTCTCACAGCGAAGGAAAACTAGTTTTACGGCCTTTACATGAAGAGGAACATTATGGCCTTCATAAAGATTACTGATTACATATCATCATAATAATATTTTGTTGTACGATTGTGATAATGATAAAGGTGACATTAAACATATCAATTTGTAATATCCTTCTTTAAGACACGAGTCACAAAAAGAAGTGTAATTTGTATCACTAAAACACACGCAGTAACTGCATGGAAACACCTAATTCACACTTTCTTTATCACATTTTAAAATTTCATTACAAATTTGCCACTGGATGAATGCAGGGTTAATGACTTTCTACTTTATAAAAATGCACCTCCATGGTCTCAGTTCAAATTGAGATGATTTTCAGATCTACATTTCCAGAATATAAAAATACCCGAGTGAAATTATTTACCTTTTGGTGGCAAAGTGACAGCATCTTTGATTTGGGTGAGGTAGAGAACCATGGACAGCTTGTCGATCTGACTACTGGGAGACATGACCGGAGGGATTCCCAGCTCCTTATGGATCACACTGAACACCAGCTGGTTGTTGTGAACTCTGTTCGCCTCATCCAGCGAGGAAAAGTCACTTTGGGCGAAAGAGAGAAACATCATTCAAACATTTACATAACCAGATGTTTGGACAGTCAAAACAATGAAATACTTTTTGGTAAATAAACATTTTATACGGAGGAAATTTAGCAGAAATTACAAACTCTTTCAATTTGTATAGTGTTTAATCAGTAGGATTTTAGATCCTTTTTCAGCGATTTAGTCAATTTTGCTGCAAAATAAAATGCTAAGCCATCTGACTTAATTCAGACTTCTTTGCATTTTAGATACAGAGCTACTGACATCTTGGACTGATTATCAGAGAAATTGGTGGAGGAATGGCAATGCTTGGATCATTACAACCCAATCAGTCCCACAAAGATTGCAACTCACATCAGATGAGGTCTGAAGTGGTGGATGAGAGCGCACAGCGCGAGGCCGGACTTCCAGGACTGGCTGAAATCCTTAATGTTCACATTGTCGTACCCTCTGGTATTGTTCTGGCACCATCTCAGCAACTCGTTAAAACCACTCATTGAATCTGAGGAAGCAAAACATATAAACAACCAGCAATCAGTCCCTGTAGATCAGTAAACATGGCATTTGTTATCTACAAAAAAATAAGGTTTGACTTATCTAAAGAGGAACTACTAACTGCTGTCAATGTGATCAAATTTGTAGAAACTCACCTTGACGCATGTGAGCCCGATTTTCCTTCAGCTTTATGGTTAACGAATGGCTTTTCTCATCATATAGGTGCTGCACCTGAATAAAGTGGTGGAAAATGTCAAAAATCAAGTTCTAAGTAATGTAAAAATTCACAAACTGCTGCTAAACACATAATATTTTAATGCATTTTGTTAATTTTGAGCTGCTTAATGCAAATGTATTGCTGCCTCTAAGATTTTCTTTCAACAGTAATCTTTCTAAATTATGTCCTGATTGCTGGAGAGACCTCAGTCTCAGTCTCAGTTGAGCAAACAGCAGATAAGCATGCTAACCTGGCGAGTGTGAATGGCGGACAGGTTGAGTCTCTGGTAGCGCGTTTTCGGGTCGATGCTGTACAGAGAGTACTTCTTGCTGGTGTTTTCAGGTGTGGTCTGGGAGAGAAGCTGGTACATGCTTTCTCTGGATTAGTTTTAAAGAAATTAAAGCAGAATATTAAAGTCAAAGCAAAAACACCAAAATTACAATACATTCAGATTCACCTACCTCTCAGCAATGACAGTCATGTGATGGATCCCCATCCCCCAGCTCCTCACCGTCCACGCCGTGTCAAATGAAGCCAAGAACCCTCGGGCGATCCCTGTTCCCAAAGGCCAAAACGGCTGCAGAGTGAAGACAGTGAAAACTAAATGAGAGACTAGAATACACAAGTAGGACCTTCTATTATAGTAAATATTCTGTATTTTTCACAGAAAAAGCTGCAGTTTATGTTTCTCTATTCATTAATTCGATCAAAATTATAGACTCTTGCTTCTTTGGTAGGTAATTGAATCAGCAAACATGTTTTTGATGCTGTTTTGTCAAAATCTAAAGAAGGTGAAGATGCATAAATAGATATAATGTTGGAATCCATTCATTTACTGCTGGCTTTACCTCTAGAACTGAAACTAAATTATACTTTTTCTTATTATGGAGACGGTTTTGGTAGTTAGTAGTGAACAAAATCTAATTTGCACAAAGAAAGAGCATATTATCATTGCCACTATAAGAACATTAATCAAAAATCCAGATAACTCAAAATGTTTTTTAAGCACGGCATTATGAATGGAGAATTTTTTTAAGCTCATCTAATCACACATTTTAATTAAACAGCTGTGTTATTGCATAACAATTAGCTGTAAATTAGATTCTCAAACCTCTGCATTATTTTCAGCGTGACTCTGCAAAATTAAAGCTTAATGCCGTTGCTATTGTCATTTGAGTCTCTAAAAATAAACAGACTCATAGGCACACCAATTAACAAAGGAGCCACCCCACATTTAAGTTATCAGACTGGTTCCCAACGAACCAAGACGAACGACTCTTAAGTGCAGTCCATTACCTCCACCAGACAGTCTCCAACAAGAGCTATTAGGAGCTTCTTGCCCCTCCTCTCTCGGACCAGCGAGGCATGCTCGGCGCGGTGCATGCAGGTGAAGTCGAACATGGCCACGTCAGGTTGACCGGCCGGATTCAGAGCAAACTGCAGGTCCGGCAGCTTGCCTCCAGTGGAGAAGTACGCCGCATCGTGAGCATAAAGACACAACGCCTCGTGATCTACGTTTGCAGGTGCCAGGAGCTGATCTGCATCACTGTAATCCTGATGACAGAAATGGAAAGATTGCATCTAATGATTCATGACATGAAGAATGACATTCTTTCTACTTTGTTTATTAGCCTTGAGCATTCTGCAGGAAGGGAGATCTGATTAGCAGCTTCTCTTCGCTCAGAAACCCAAGCACAGCTGTTGTGTTTATCTGATTCGAATATTTTCTTTCTAGGCCAGAGCTGCAGCCAAGAAGCCACACTTTTTTCTTGGTAATGGATGTGTTGTTCTCACCTGTTTAATGACCCCCCTCTTCAGCAAGCTCTTCCTCTTGGCTGTCATGACAAAGTAGTGGGTGTCGTCTTTGTAGTACACAATATTCTCTAAATCAATATCTGGAATAGAAGAGCGGGGAGGGAGAAAAGTGGGTTTAGAGGAACAAAATGCCAGTGAAGACATAACAAATCAGAAAGATTTATAGTTTTCCAATTGCAGTTGCTAGTTTATTTACACTTTTGTGCTTGTTAAACTAATTCTAGACAGGAGAGCAAATAGCAGGACGCACTGAAAGATTAGAGTTCAATAGAAGAGCCTGAAAAAAGGAGGATTAGCAAATCTCCTAATCTGTATTTACACAGAGCATTGATTGCAAATAATTCTTTATTATACCTATCATGTGGTAGGTATATTAAAGTTATAAAACGCAGGCTTTTGTTTTGGTCAGATTTTGTATAGTTGATAGAATATAAAACTTTTTAAATTGCAACAGGAAAACAATTCAGCAGATATTGCTAGTTGAACAAATAGACTACAAAAAATACACTATTAAAACTGTAGTAGGTATGTCTTATGTTTTTTTTTGTTTTTTTTTTTACATACATGTCAAAGCTATCACTATCTATGAAAAAAAAAAAAAAACAACCAATCGGAGCCGAGAGGATGGCTTTAGCACTGTTCATGCTCGTGTACGAGCTGCTCACACCCTCTCCGTTGCTCTCTGCTATGCTATAGCTCCTCCCCCAAGTTAGAGTCTGCCATAAATATGCAGGCTTGTTACCATGGCCACCAATGACGGTGCTTAGAAACACAAACATATTTTTTTTTATCTAGTTTGACCTTTATTTATCGTGTTTTGTGCTGTAGGCGTTACTTGCGAGGCAGCATAAAACTGTGACTGTTGCACAGGATGTAAACACCATGTGTAACAGTCACAGCTCTTAAGAACTAGTTGTCTAAACAACCCTGAGCACACATTTTAATAGGAATGGTACCCGTCTCATTGAGCAGGTCTTGGAAGAACTTCTGGTTGTATATCCGGGCCACCCCGCTGATCTCTGGTACTTGGGCCTCAGCAGCCGTGTTCCCGTTGATAAAATTGGCTGTGATGCCAATGGCCAGTTTTCCTCTCAGCTCCTTGTGCTTAAAACCTGACAGACGGAAAAAAAAAGAAAGAAAGAAAACAGGATCGATGTGAATTTACTTACGGATGCTAATGCACTTTTGTGTTTTAAGGTAATAGTCATTAAAAAAGAAAGTGTCCTATTTAAACTAGAACAGGGTGAACTAAAGTGATGCCTTTTTTTATTTTCCGTACCCTCAGGGACGAACCTGCCTCCCCCTGCAGAGATAAAAACATCAAACTGGAAGGCTGCAGCAGGATGAGACGGAGGCTGTAGTTTGGCCATCCAACCTACAGAGAAACATCAGGTATGAGCTGTATTTACTTCAACCACATCTGATTCTTTGATCTAATGCTCAAAGTCTTAAGTAAACACATCACTGTTTGCATACATAAAGCTGCTGAATGAGGTACCTTTTTCTACAGAGGGCTCAATAAGGCCCTTGTACTCCACTCCGGTGTGGACCTCCACCCCGAGGATGAGACACACCTTCAGCAGGATCAGCTGCAGCTGACGGATGCCTGAAAATAAAACAAAAAAATCTAAGTTTAACTAGAAGTTTGCATTAGTGCACTGCAAAAAAACAAAATTTTACCAAGCATTTTTGGAGTAGTTTCCAGTGCAAATATCTTAGTACACTTTAAATATGACAAAACTAACTCACAAGTAGCCTTTAACCAAGATATAGAAGCTTAATATTGTTAAACAAAAATGCTAGTTCCACAGGCAGATTATTTCACTTATAGCAAGACATTTTTACCTTGTTAGAAGTGAAACAACCTGATAGTTGTGCGAGTATGTTTATAGCAATATTAAGGAATTATTTACTATATCTTCCTGAAAATCATTCATAGTGTACTAAGATAGTTGCACTAGAAACTAGACAAAAATACTTAGTAAGACTTTGTGATTTTGCAGTGTGACTTCTTATTTCACCAAATAAATTTTCAGTTCAAACAAGCAATCGTATTCATAATTCTGTCTCTTACTGATGTGATCCAGAGAACCAGCACAGAATTTGCCATAGAACTTTTTGGCTCCGAGCTCTCGGAGGTCGCAGATGGTGAAGGGCCACAGGTGGAGAACGTTGTTCCTGGTGAACTCCTCCCGCTTCTCCAGCAGCACCACCTGAGCTCCCAGCAGGGACAGTTCGATGGCCGTCCTCAGCCCACATGGTCCCGCGCCCAACACCAGACACTGAGAGAAAGAACAGAAAACAAAGAAAAACATTCAGAAACACAAAGTGACAACAACAATATATTTTTTAGTGAACATGCAGGTTTATTTGACCTTTCACTTCATTTTAAAAATGTCCTCACTGAACTTGTAGGTTTAGTGCAGTTAACCTTTTACCCTGGCACTTCAAAATACAAACGTTTTATGATCTTACAGAAGCTGGTCTGAATGTCTGAAGATATCTAAAAGTCATCTAGATGTAATGTAATGTGACTGTGCCAACATTTTAAGTAAATCCTAACTTTAAGCATTAATGTGTTACACTTTGAAAAGTCAGGTTTGCTTATTTATTAGAATAATTGTACATTTGAAATGCAGTGTTACAAAACTTTCAGTTATTAAACAGTAGTATATTATTACATTTCTGGTCTCCTGAGTCTAAAAAAGACAGTTTATTATTTCTGGCGTTATTCTATGTCTGCTTCTGATTGGTCGAGCAGTACCTTGTGATGACTCCTCCCACTGAGCTCTGACTATCAGTGTGTTGTTCAAATCAAATCACATCAAATTTTATTTGTATAGCACCTTTCAGCAGCAGGGCATTTCGAAGTGCTTTACATCAGAAAAACACAAAAATGCAACAACTGAAACATCACATTTTGCAGTCGTTACACATCAGACTGTTGATTAATGTTTCATTGTTGGAGTTCTTAGACTCAGACAGAAAACAGAACCAAATAAATCTTTACCAAAGTGGGTCTGAGGCAAGTCAAATCACCTTCTTGAGATTGGATTTTAATAAGAAAAAGAGAAAGGAGCATGAATCTATTTTTTGTTTTCTTTTTTCTGCATGTCAGCTGTGTTTCTAGGTCAACGTTCTTCAAAAATAAAATCAGTCATATCTAACCTAGTTCCAGGTTAACAGATAAGAGTCGGTTTAAAACCTTGTTTTTATTCTGTTTTTGTATTCTCCATAAAGATTAATGATGTTTTTTTTTAATGTTTGGTATTTCAAGTTGAAATAAATCTGCAAAGCGTCCGTCTTTGCAGTGATAAGGGATCAGTAACTCTTAAGAAAAATTACATATTAAATATTTTAGATGCTCAATTTCTCGTTCATAACCTCCCCATCATCCTGTAACAACTAATTTGATAAATAACATTAAAATAATTTGTTTTTATCTTTCCTTGAATATCTCGTTACTTCAGTAAATCATTAGTATGCATGATCTGTTGTAATTAAAAATATTTTTCTTAATTAACATAAATCTTGTTTTTCTCTTATAATCCTTAGCTGAAGTGTAATTGCTCTATTGGTGGTCAGTAAATCTTAATTCAAAACATAGTCTGTCGGTTTCTTTACATTTGGGATAGAAATAGTTTATTGAAAGAAAATAATTCATCATTCAAGCTAATTTTTTACTGATTATTGCACTGATTTATCTATACTTACTCTCTGCGGCTTTATCCTCAATACAGGAAATCAGTTCAATAAATGTGGAGTTTAATTATGTTCAAACCTTAAAGTTATTGTACAAAATTGAGGTAGAACACCATTGTGTCAATGACTGCTCTGAAGGAAAGCATGGAAAACCTTTTATAACATTTTTAATATGAAAGATATTGTGCCTGTTCAGCAACAGATAAATACACATGGCAGTATCAGTATCAAGCTAAACCTGATTTACGGCTTCCTTAGAACATGAGAAGGAAAACACTAACCATTGCAGATACTAACGCTGCTGCTAAAACCAGCTCCTAAACTTGTAATGGAAAGACCAAGAAGTGTAATAGTACTGCACCTTGTTCTGGGCGCAGGCTTTTCCTTGCTCATAAACTTCTTGAGAGGCTCTTTTGTCCAACTTGGTCCACACAGCTTTGGCCTTCCAGTAGTTCAGCCTTTCCTTCAGCTTGGTGTAGAAGTTGCTGTAATCCTTAGGATCAAGTTGCAGGTGTCTGCAGAGCTCTGTGAAGTGCTTCTTTACTTCTTGACAAGTCTTGGCTTGGACAAAGAGGTCAAACGTGGCATGAGAGGGATTCACAGGTTCCTTGTTTGCCATGGCTGGGATTGGGAGATCCAGATCCGTTCAGTCGCTGGAGTTTAAGCTGAACTGTGGAAGGAAGTAATATCAGGGAATTATCACATGCTCCAAGAAAAAAAAAAATCTACTGTGAGAAAACGTTTACTGTAAGTAATCAGAGGGGTAGCAAAGTCCAACTCTTTGTTGTTTGCACCCATAAAGGTGAACCAGTCATTAGGGTTTTCTACCTGCTGTGTAATGGGAAGTTCCCGCCACATGGTCCCTTAATTACAGTCCAACCTAAACGCTCATGGCTTGAAGCAACCTGGTCGTCTGAGTCACATAAAAACTTCCCTTCTGCTGGTCATGTGTCTTTTATTTATGACCATTTTGCAAATGAATAACCTGCCTACGTCTTATGTGTCATTCTGACACACAGCTTGAGGACGTGTCAGAATCAGTGGGTACGAGTTAGTTACATAAACATTTTTCCATGCGTCTTAACAGGCCTAAACTTGCCTTTAGTTTTATTTTTATTAACAGGGGTGTGCAAATGTTCATGTTTAAAATTATTTTTAAACATGCACGTCTGAGGCCATTTCTGGTTGATACAGATTTCCATTCTTCTTTGGAGGTCTGATCTGCCAATTATGATTTTCACTGATTATTGATTTAATTTATAAGACTTTAACACACAAACAATTTTTTTGCAGGTTCTTTGATAGAAGTAGCTTGGTTTGAAGATTATTTCTTTTTATGAGACAAAGCTGTCACTCAGCTCAGAAAAAGTGCTTCATAATACATGCTGTTGGTTTTTGTGTTTGTAGAGTGAAATGATAGAAGATCTTAATAAATGTGACTGACCACAACAAAGCCAGGAATATCTATCATGTGTGGATTATAGGCTTTATAATTATAACAAACACAAACAAAAAATAAAAATACATGAAGAAAGCAAAATTAGTGAGACAGCAGGCCTCAAAGTTTCAGAAGAATTGATCCCCTACCTGATGAGCTACTTGGGGTTTTTAACAAAGGATGCTAATTTATATTAATTTGCATAATTCAATCTAGATTAAAAAAAAATCTGATGTACAAATCAAAGACCTGTATATCAGATGATCAGTAGTGTTGACTGCTGATCAACACACCTAAAGTCTTGTAAAACATAATTACCTCCTTACAAATTTCTCCTGTTTTTTGCTTTATTTGTTTTTGAACAAACTAATTATAATGTCAAAGCAACCTAGCCCTATGTAAAAAGTAACTTCCCTGTAAACCTAGTAACCCATTGTGCTACTGTCTCCAAGTGCTTAAAATAACTGTGGAAGAGTTTTGGTCCACACTTCTCTGCAGAATTGTTTTCATTCAGCCCCAATGGAGGATTTTTCTATGTATGATTATGATGCTGCGTCTTCATCATCACATTCACGTCGATTCCAACACCTACATTTATTTTACGATGGTTGAACATTGTCCTTCAGGATTTTTCCACTAGAGAGCAGCGTGTTTTCATTAATCACCTTGTTCTTCTGCAGCAAAGCAGCTCCAGACCATCACACTAACACCACCACGTCTGACTCTAGGCATGATGGTATTTCATTCAAATGGTTGATTTTATGTCCCATGTAAACATGATGCACTAATTCCGTAAAGTTTCTCCTTGTTCTGTCAATGAACAGAATATTTTCCTGAAACTCTTTGGCCTCATCAAGATGCTTTTTTTGGAAAATACTAAATGTTTGTGTTTCTTTTGTTTAGAAACGGTTTTAGCCTTGGAACTCACACATGGAGGTTATTTTTGCTCTCTTTCTTCTTGCTGAATCACAAACTCTGACCTTAATTGAGGCAGCAGGGATTTTAGCCCTGCAAACACTGTGCGCCTTTAATAGGACATAAACATGTCAAACTGGTGTGACTCCATTACGACAAACGAAACAACTTGTTGCTGCAGCACAGTAATGTCAGTAGAGGTACAAGCGATCATGTCAATGCAAAAAACCAACAATGGTGGCAGCAGCAGTGAAACTACAAGATTTCAAAAGAAAACCTGGTGGATATCTGGACAAGAAAGAAGCGAATCGATTACGACCAGAGATTTCCTGTCACTAGAATTCACCCAACAACTAACTTAACTGTCTAAATTAGCTTTAAATTATTTTTTAGATTCTTTTAAGACCTCCTGAATCAGTCACTGATGCACTTTTGGAGAGGTTTTAGTAGGTCAGTCATACCTGGGAGGTTTCACAAAACGGCTGCTCACTGGAGTCCCACAGTCAACGGCTTTGTCATCCTTTCCAGACTGCTAAACGGCAATGACAATTTGTTTTTCATCTGTTCTTCGATTTCTTTCTATCGAGTCACGATGGTGTACATTTTCAGAACTTTTGGCCTACTTAAGTCATCAGTTGGGTTACATTTGAGTGGTTTCTTAAATTCACAGGTTTAGCATTGAATAGGCCTTTTTGCGGCTTGTGAAATAGTTTTAACAATTTTAAAATTTAGAGGGGAGAAACAGTGCTGAATTGGTTTGAATAACTTTTTTCTTTGAAATAGGAAAGTCATATTTGAAACCACATGTTGTATTTACTCAGATAAGCTTTGTCTGACACTAAAATTGGTTTGTCTAAAATCAGAAGGTAAGAAAAACAAAAACCTTTTCACACAACTTCCTGCTTTTTTTGTTCTGTGTTCTCATTTTGTATTTACTTTACACTTTTTTAGAAAACACCAAAGCATACGTTTGTCAGTGATAAGCATTGTGATCCCAAAACTTGAGAAAAAAACAAAACAAAACAAAAAAAAACAAAACAATTAATGTTCATTGAAAAAATGCCTTTTACAATTTAACCAGTAAAAAGCATGGTGGGACAGTATCCTGATTACAATTGTTTTAATCCCTGAAATAAGATGTAGGCTGGATCTAGTCAGCTGATTTAATCCAATATATTATCCAAGGCAAAAATCAACCCACGTGATCAGAGCCAGATGAACAACTGATGATGTAGACAGTTAATGAAACAGATTAAAGATCATTTCCTGCAGAGGTCACCCGACAAGATTGACAGTTCCAGAACACTGTAGGCACTATGAATAAGCAGCATTGATCAAATTAATACAATTTTAATCCTCCTAAAGATGTAGTCTGAGTTACGAGACAGCAAAATGATACAGGCTTTTCTTCTGCATCAAGTTAAAAGCTTTCAGTTGAGATAACATTCCATAAACAGCTGCAACACTGCTTTCTCTTCCCAATCTGTGCTGTTTTCCAGAAAAAAAGTAGCCGAATACATCTTATTCCCAGTTTCTACACAAATGAACACAATATAAACACTGTATCATAATATAGAGTTAAGGGTTGTGCATTGTTTCTCAGCAGAGATGTGCTGATTCTAATCTCTGCAAAACAAATCAGTTAGTTTATGAATCTTTTAGGAATCTCGACAATCATAGGTGCACCAGTAAATTACGCAATGACTAGAATCAGACAGTGTTTAGCCTGCATGGCACTGATGAGTTCAAAACATTACAGTCAGGCCTCCTCCAGATCTATTAGTGATAAGGGAAAAGATGTGAACAAGACTCAGAGTAGTCAGCTGACCATTTGACCACGCGACATTTCTTAAGTGAAGTAAATCGAGTCATAAGTTTTCACTCAGGAGCAACGAGGAGGAGGATTTTAACTGCCAACTGTGACGAGACACAAACTCTGATGTCGATACAGGACCAGATTCTCCAGTAAAATCTATTATTTATATCTGCTTCAATGTTCATCAGGCCATCATAAGGAATAATATGGATATGCATTTTATAAATAGTGAAAAAGGAGTTGTTGCCGACTGTGTTGCTATTGTCTGACTTTTTAACATGACGTGCTTAAACAATGGGAATAAGGAGCTTTTCCAAATATACATTCCTTTTTAAGCCTAAAACCAGCTACAGTGTCTTTTGCTGAAAAACTCAACGTCAGTCTCATCTTAAAGGCTTAGCAAAACGTAGCAACTCGTGAACGTAGGACAGAAGCTTTGTTGGCAGCATCCTAAAAGTTATCATGGAGACTTGGCAACAGCAAGATGTCACTCTACTGCATTTTTGTAACAGCAAGCTTTGCATAGTTTTTTGCCTCCTTTCTCCTCCCTCCAGTGGATGGTGGCAAGATAAATATGGGCCACAGTCCAACAGAGTGGCCAGTGGCTAAGAGAAGTGGGGCTCTATGTCACATCATATTTAGTAAGTTTATTTATATTTCTAGCACAGATAGAAACCAAGAAGAGGTCCACAAAGACAGCAGGAAAGCAGAAATATTATTAAGAAGACAAAGAAAGGAACTATGGATGCGGGATGTACCAGCATTAACATCAGTATCAGTCGATCTTAGCGTTAGCTAAACATTATCGGTATTCGTCCTGTGAGTGAAACTGTGATGATGTGAATAATGAATGTTAAAGAGGGGAACGGTTGTTCATGAGGTGTGTTTAACTGAAGCAGAGAAGCATTGTCAGTGGTGTATTCATTTTTTTTTTTTCACAAAAGGGTAAGGAAAGAAATAAAATATGAAGATTATTGTTAAATATTGGTTATCGGCTATAACGTCAATTTTAATATCAGATACTGATATTTGAAGACTTTAGTTGGAAGAGCATAACTATTTATGGTCCTGAAAAATAATGTTAAGAGTTTTAAAATTAATGAAGAGATAGTGCAAAGATATTAATACGGGAGAGCTGTTAAAGCTGAGAATCTTGCTGCAGAGATTTGAACCAACAGATTATGGATTTGTTTTGTTGTTGTTAATACATCTGATAAGTGCATTACAATAATCGCATGAGAAACAATCTTAAGTGCATTTTTTTACACCAACCTTGTCAATTTTGAAATATTTCTCAACAGATAAAAATTGTTACGGAAAAAAACACAGCAATGCAGATGACGATTAACTGCATAAAAGGTGATGAAGATTTTATTAAACTATGAGGGTATAATAAATAAAAGGACCCAGAAAAGAGCCTTGGTGTACCCCACATACCTGTCCAGTAGAATGAGGGGGTCTAACTGGACACGTCAATGTTTCTCTAATGTCCTGAGGAAACAGGAAGTCAGAGATTAGTGATTAGATGTCTCTATAAACACTGATCAACTTTCAAAATGATCAATTATTCATAACGATAAACTTTAAATAGATAATAAAGGGCATCGATAATTATGATGCAGGTAAACTGATTAAAACCAGAGCCGTTTAATGTGACTTTTATCCCTTTTTTTCCCTTATAACATTTTTTTATGGGCAATAAATCAGTACTGATTTCCTTCATTTTGGGAGATTGGCAATATTTACATAAGAAGATGATCTAATCGAAAAAAAACAACAACAAAAAAATAGCCACAGTCCCCTTTAACTTTGTCACTATATTTAAACGCTTTCGAAATCCAAATCTGTCAAATCCAGATGGGCAGATCTGGATTTGGCCATCTGTGATTGGTCAGAAATCTCCAATCAGTGCATCCAGAATTTTTAGATTGTTAACAGGGTGTCAATAAAATCGTCTTTCCATGGAAAACAAGTTTAAATTGACCAGTTAACCCAAAATACCTTTCTGTGGGTTGTGGGAGGAAGTCAGAGTACCCAGAGAAAACACAAACAGAAATGCCACAGCACAGTTTTGAACCTAGGTCCCTGAAGTAGGGAAACACTGCTAACCACAAAGTTCCTGTGCAGCTTTTCTCACCACCTTGTAGCATAAAATAGCTGATAAAACTCTCTCAAGAGAATTTTACTTCATTTCAGTGAATCCTGACAAAACTTGTCAAAGATAAGAATTAGAGAGATTGCAGAGGGTCAAAGCTAAAGGTGGGCTGTTTAAGGAACTAGAACAAGCACCTGTGTCATGCTATTCTTAAAACTTAGCAGCAACATTCATAGCAAGAAACGAGCCGTTTAAGACCGTCATGCCCACATTTGCAATGCTTTGCATTTTCCATATGGTAGCAAGAATCACACACAGCACATGAACACTTCAAATGTAAAATTCAGTTGGTTGACGTTTCCTGTAACAAACGCTAAATTACCACTTCCTCATTAAAATATATTAACTGACAGTCACTGTTCTGCCGCAGGCCTGCAGACGAAACACAGCCCGTTACAATAGCACAACAACAGAGAATATGAAAGAATGTTCAGGGAAAGTAACACTGAAGGCCAAATTATTCACTGTATTCTTATTAATTATTGTCTGGAGACATTTCCTTGAGGTGAAGATTATGACAAACCATGTTTCACTTCTGGCATAGCTTAAAAAAGGCACTTTCTTCCTGTTTATTAGAATTAAAAGTGATTAATCTGGAATAAAAATAGACTGTTGGTATGTTCTTTTGTAAGCCTCTCTGGACGCCTTCTTAACAATCAAAAGAGACTGCATGTTAAAAAAAGAAAATGAAACAGCTTTAAAGCATTTCAAACGTGTCAGGGTGACTGTACAAACAACAAAGCACAATACTTGAACAGCAACTATGTGGACGGTACCGAGAACACCAACCAAAGGAGCCATATTTAACCAGAAAGCATTTCTATTTTACATCAGTGTTGCAACAAGCTACAAAGGGAGACAGCTTCCTTAATTAAGCATGAAGTGGTCTGTGAAGACAAGACAGCCCGTCAAAATCTAAAAATAACACAATATTCCCAAGAAGGGTTGTGTATTTATACTCAACCTGCCATTTGTTGTTTGAACAAGGTTTGAGACATGCAGTTGCAGAAAACCACAAACACTCTGCATGTTGAAACGCTGCTGTATTAAATATAAAGCTGTGGGTGACTGCCATGACTGGTTGACATACTCATGCAAATAATCACTATCATTTTACTTGTGTTAAAGGAATATGTTTCTTAAGGCAGAAATAAACAAGATGAGACAGAAACTACAAGAAATTCAATGTGAACTGACATCATTTCCCCCAAAGCAAGTGAGTTGAACTGCAGGGGGGTTGGCCCACCTTATTGCGTAAGTGTTGCTCAAACAATCAATCCCCCTCCTTACGGAAAACACAGAGAGGAAGAGATTTTAACAGGAAAGATGCAAGAGAGATGAGGAAAAAGAACAAAGAGATGTCAGTTTCTGAAGTCATCAAGCTGTGTTTCTTCTGAGATATTTTAAATTCAAGCTTTGAAATGTTTGGATTCACAACGACATGAAGCTGATGAGTAAAAGGTGTCTGTTGTAGCAAAGCAGGCTGCAGTCTCAGCATGTTACCCAGTAAGAGCTGCCAGATTTTAAAAGAACGTTCAAACAACACTTTCCTGTTCATGTAAACTTGTAATTAACATAAGTTAATAAATTCACAAATTACGAAGTGGACAAAAACGCTTTGTGACCGTGGTGGCTCAATAAAACGACTCAAGGAATATTTAAAGTAGCAATGAACACCATAGTTAAATAAACTAACCAAAAGAAACCGGCACACAACATTTAAAATGCGATTAACGTACTTTAATTGAATTACCTGGTCTGAAGCGAGCTGTTGTGAAGCTATATCCCGGTTCCCATGTTTGCTTGTTTTTCTCTCGCTCTGACCTCCCCTGATACGCACAGGTAAACAGAACAGAGCGCACCTCACCTCGCGCCCCTCGCTGCAAATGAAAAAGCACCAACTTCCGGGACTTTCTCGCACTGCACGCGAGCACACGTCACGAGCGACGTGTTGAAAGGACTGGATAGGAAGTAAAAATAAGTAATAAATATTTTTCACCACCGCATTAATTTCTATGTTCTTTATAATTAAAAACCCGTCTTAAGTGCAATATCACTATTTATTTATTTATTTATTTATTTATTTATTTATTTATTTATTTATTTATTTATTTAAATAGGGAAAATTCACAAATATCTCGAGGCACTTTACAGAAAAAGTAATTTAAATTCAAGCTATACATTTCAATTAACCCTAATACTTGATACTCCTTTTACATAGCTCATCATCATTTGTCTCATTTCCTTTTAGAAGCAAACTTCATGGTTGATATTTATTTAAATCTGCCAGATATCTGAATGATTTTAGGTGTTTTCACAGATTCAAATTAATCTCTATTCAACCCAATTCAATCAAAAATCCTAATAAAATGGGAAATTTCTGTTTATAGTAAAAACATTTGATCATTTATAGTTTACCTCTCATTCTGCTGGCATGCAAACATAACAAAACTCTAATTCTTTAATATTTATTTGTCTTTCTTATAAATTCTTTTGACATACTGCTGAATTAGTTTAAGATTCTACATTTGTTTGTGATGTATTTATTTTATAACTGGAAAACACCAGAGGGCTGTTTCACAAAACCAGGATAGATAATTAAACTGGGATTTTTCGGAAATCAAAGCAGGAGCACATACGTTGCCATAGTGATTTGTTGCGTAGCTACACATCAGGCTAATAGTCTAACTTTTTTAGTTATCATCGTGCCTTATTTGTTCAGTAAGCGCTTATGTCGATCAGAAACCAATGTGCAGCATTTAAATTGTAGGAACGAAGGATGAAGAATGTTAACTTAAAATAACATTTACGACGTTAATTAAGTTTAGCTTGGGCATATGATTAAACAAATGCACAGTTTAAAACACACAGTATTTAAGACATGTACTTATTTATATCATAAACATACCTTGTACCTCTATCGACGGGGGGTACTAATAACAGGATGCATTTTATAAACTTCGATCAAACTTATTTTCTGTCTTTTGATTGGCATTAAGCTGCCTTAGTGCTAACAGTTAAACAGGAAGTTGTCCCTTCAAGATAAAAGCATCCCAACTCAAACAGGAAGTTAAAACTAATTGTACATTGTCGTTTACCTTTACCAGCTGCAAAAATGTTCCTTTATAAACTAGACCTCTTGTCATGTTTATTCTGTATAACTATTGATAAGATATTTACTTTATAAGCTTACATTTATAAGCTTAAAGTTGTTCATTTAAGCAACTAGCAGGTAACTCTATGTATGATTGTTATGTGTTTTCGTTATAGTTTAGGCTATATATAGGCTCACAAAAGCAGGATTTCTGAAACAGCCCTCATCTGTAATTGGGTTGTTTGTGTATGATTTAACTTACTGTTGACATGATGTAGTCATACTTTGTGTTTAAAGCAAACAGTGAGTCAAAAGTTTGTTTTAGTTTCATTTATTACGGTTTGGATGTTGATGAATGTCAGTTTCTGTGTTCATGCTCACCATTGTTAACTTCTTTGTTCAGACCAAACATGCAGGACTGGTGTCTGGTTGATGCTGCACTTCCTGGTTTATTGCCTGTTTTCACGTCATGCATATGAAGTTATAAGTTATACAGGAACATTTTCTCCCCACTTGTTTGTTCTATGCTACTCAGTTCAACCTGTTCTGGTTGAGGCTTAATCTGACGTGTGCATTCAGTTCTACATGTAATCAAGAGTATTATAAAATAAGAACTGCAACATGTTAAAGACACATATGTACTTTTCAAGGATTTTTGTTTAGCTAAGATCAAAGAAAAAACTGTGACTGAAACTCCCACCCAAAACAAAGTTAAAATAAGTGCCCAGCCTGCGGCCCTGTCTCTATAGCAACCATTTGACTGTGACGACAAGACAACTGGTTGTTTGGGAAAAACATATTTCAGTCCTACTATTACAAGATAGTACACTGTATTTGCAAAGCGCTACTTTGGATTCAAATAGTTTTGCTCAGATGAGCGTGAGAATTATAGTGATTAGGAAATATCTATTTTGCTTTTGAAGTTTGTTGATAACAGTCTTAAAAAAGATCTCTCTTCCCTTGTCCTCAGGGTGTGGCTTGTTTTTCAAAGCTGGAGCAAATTGCTTAATCTTTCTCCTTTTTATTTTAAAAGCTAAAAACAAATCAGAATTAAAAAAGTATCTTTTTATTGTGGTTTCCCATCTGTGATCTTCTTAATCATGCCTAACCTCAGTTAAAATAAGTTATAGCTCTAAAATAAACGAAAGAAAAGAACGACAATTCTGCCAATGTACAAATTTTATTCAAATTTACTTTTCAGTTTTGAACAGTATTGGAAAGAATTTCACAAAGAGTTATGTGAAAATACTAGCAGAATATGGTAGAAAAAGAATACGGTATATGTAGGAAACCTGCAGATTTAAAAAATAATATCTGCACAAGCAGGAAGGAGACCTAAAAACCCCTACAGAAGACATAAACAGTGCACACAAATATGACCTTTTAACGTGCATTTTTTGTTTCGCAAATAAATATTAAGTGGGAGCACAAATTAGAAGCGATTTCAAACAATTTATTGTTAGTCAGCATGCTGAACAGGCGACAAGATAGACAGGAAGGTCAGCAACGCTCAGTTTCTTCAAAAATCTGTAGTACTGATGTTTAAATGAGTCCCAAACTCACCTCTTCAGTCAGTCATTGAGAAAATATTCAGGTCAGCTTCACTGAAATATGCTCCAAAATACTTGTAATGAAATTTTTATATGTGTTTCATGTTATTTATCCCATAAAAATACCATAAACAAGAAGTATGCACATGTGCTGAAAGAAAAAAAAATTGGGTTAATTTAAAATGAATAAATAAGAAAAGTTGATATGTACAAATTATTAGCATCAAAGATATTTACAATTAAGTTTTAAAATGCCAATTTTTAATTTCTGTACATGCTTACAGTGTGAGTGAACAGGAATCCACTATGGTCTGCCCCCTGCAGGCGATAGAGAGGCATTACCACAGTGAATGCACTCCTGTTGCTCATTTGTCCCAAAAAATAATAAAATAAAAGAAAAAGAAAAAAAAAAAAATCTCCAGTGTAAAATTGTGCTCAAGATGGCACTAAGAAAAAAACAAAAACGAAAAACGTAGCAGTGCTGAATAAAGAACAAATCTTAAAATGAAAGGAAACTTAAAATAAATTTGAAAACTCAGCACATTAAAATCTATACACAGGAGCAGTGGATCACCCTTTCAGAGCAACAATGTAGTTTTTTTTGTTATAAGAAAAGTACCAAAAATAGAACAAAAATAGAGTACAAAATAGATTTTCATTGGCACAAAAATCTTTGCAGCAGATTAGTTTTGTTTACCCCATCCTGAGTTGACCTTTTCTGACCAGAAACAGCTGTATGTTCCCCATGGCAGCCATGACAGCAGACATGACACATTTCCAGTTGATCAGGGAGAAACAAGTTCAACCAGATTCACAACGTCATAAGAAATTATTGTAGGCTCAATAAAAGGAAGACAGTCTGAGCTTGTTTCAAATTGGATCCGAAAGAAAATGTGGTAAAAATGTACATCTGACTGAGAAACGTAACAGCAGATCAATACTTCCCAAGTTTGACTCACTGATCATGTTCCATAAAAATCAGAGAAAGCAATTAAACAATTATTTTGCACTTTTTTTTTAGATTCTCTGGATAAAAATGTATGAAAAAAAGCTAATGACTTTGAGATAAGAACGAAATCAGTCAGTGATTGTACCCAGTTTTATGCTGATCTCTGCCCCTTTATTCCACACATGCATGTCCATACGCGGGTCCGTTTTTGCATATCCAAACAGCCTGGTTACAGGTTATCCCCAGGCTGGTACTGAGGCTCAGTGGAGGTGAAGTAATCCTCCAGGAAGCCCTGCAGGTACTCGAAGGTGGGCCTCTCCTCAGGCTCCTTCCTCCAGCAGTTCAGCATCAGCTCATGGAGAGAAGCAGGACATTCAGTCGGACACGGCATCCTGTAGCCGCGCTCCACCTGATCCAGAACCTCTCTGTTCACCATGCCTGGGACGACAAACCACACCTTAAGCATTCATCATTATGCACAGTGAAAAAAACGAAAGTAGACCCACTGTCTCTACTACACTTTTAAATATTAAAGTGGTGCCCAAATTGCGACTCAAGGCCCATTTGAGGATCCTCAAAATCTTACAAGGGAAAATGTTAGGTAACACACAAGTATTTAAATTTTTTTCTGTTGTTTTCTTTCATAAATTTTCCATTATTTATACTTTGGATTAATTAATTTGTCAATAAATAAGCAATTTTCCATTCTGAATCAATAAAGTGTATTCTATTTAACAACAACACATCTGTCCAGTCACTTTAACTCTAAAGTAGACTTTCACTGCAGCTAAATCTGCTTTTATTAAATTTATTAAATCAAACTTGGCAAAACAAATAAGCCAATTTCAAAGAAGTAGTGATCTAAATTATTTTCCTTTTAGCAAATCCTTTTCAAATTAGCCTTTAATTTAATAAGGCAAACATGTGAAACCTTTTAAGTTTTGGATCTGAAATGTTTAACAATCCCTCCCCCCCACACACACATTCGAGTATTAGAAACAAACCAATTAAAGAAAAATAAAAAAAATGGACAGAAAAATATCTGGTGATTTCTGTTGTGTTGTAAATTTATTGGAACGTAGTAAAGAACAGAGCATTTCTAGTTATAGTTGAGAGGGTGTACTTTTCTCTTTACCCTGACTGTTTGTTATTCTTGATGAGAACATGCATAAAGTACTAATGTCATGAAACGAAGTCTGAGAAAAAGAGCCTTGCCTGGGTAGGGCACGCGACCTTTGGTGGCCAGTTCAACCAGCAGGATCCCAAATGACCAGACGTCAGATTTGATGGTGAATCGGCCGTAGAGCGCCGCCT